CTTGATTGGTTACCTGGAAACTGTACCGCGGTGCGTGCGTACTCGTTACACGATCACCACCGTCCGCACCTCGAATACTGCGTCCAGGCTTGGAGCCCGTTTCTGATCCAGGATATGAAAACGCTGGAGTCAGTGCAGCGTCGCTTCACCAAATGGGTTAGGGGCTTAAGACATCTATTTCACGAGAGGCGTCTGGAAGCCTTGGATGTTTTCTCATTGAGCAGGCGTAAGCGACGAGGAGACTTGAATCGAAGCGTACAAAATCCCTAATGGGTTTATGGACGTACCGGACGGGGCACTGCTCAAGCTCAATGAATCGACGAACCTGAGAGGGCACGCTCTAAAAGTGATTAAAAATAGAGTGAGGACTCGGCTTAGAGCGTCCTCGTTTGCAAAGAGAGTTGTGAATGACTGGAATAGACTGCCGAATAAAGTCATTGCTGCCAATTCGACAGCAGACTTCAAAGTCCTGTTTATTCATTCTCCTCCCAACCTCTTATCCTCAACCTCTATTANAATGAATGGTCTGGTCGTTCCATGAGTCTGCAAGCTGTAACACCATTCTTGACAACCCCCTCTGACTGGAGCCCTGCGAAGGGGGTCTCTCCTGGTCTTTGTATACTATTCGTTTAATTGAAGAAGAGTTTTTCTCTTCCTGTTGTCGTAGCACCAGGGGATCCACATAGCCCATTAATGTAAGAAGCTGGAAAAATCGGCACGCCGCCGCCACGTCCTGGGAACCGACCTGACCTGTCCAATCCTCAAATGGGATGTTTCTGACAATAGACACATGAGAACTCAGCGGTCTTGGCATGGGCCAAGCTGCTATGGATTAGTGGTTAGTATGAAGGATCCCGACCCATTTCACCTGGCGGAATTAACATAAAATGTTGGTGCCGGGCAGATCCACGGCAAACACGTAACAGAAAGCAATTCGTAGCACTTAAAGATTTAAGAGCCCACCAGCGCAAGAAACTGGGAAATTTGGCATCTCGCCATCAAGTCCTGGACCAATATCCGGGACATTTGGGCTTAACCTCGAACCCGTGAAATACTTCAAGACTTCAAGACCCCCGAACTGAACTGGAATGAACTGAATCCACCTTCAGTATACAACCATATCTGTAAACATAGAACCTCGTTGTGTAATGTTCGTTTACTTGTAAAATAGTTTTCTCTTCCTCTTTTCGTTGTATCAACAGATACACAGCCCATCAGTGCAAGATACTGGACAAAGTGGCACGCCGCCACTACATCCTATGAAGCGACCTGACCTGTGTCCCCGAACCAAGGTGTAACGCATAAAGTGTGGGTTCATCTGAGTGGAAAATGTGTGATGGCTTTTCGATCACGATATGTTCACTAAGAAGGGTTTGCTTGAAATAGGCCGTACTAACTAACTTGAGTGAGATTCTAATATTTTATTTAAATGGATCGAAATTTTCAGTTGGGGCGATTTGAAACCACGCACGACATGTGAGTTGGTGTTACTGTTTTTATTTGATTGTTTTGACTTGTGTTCATGAGCCGAAGTTTATGGGAGATTGTACGGTTTTTTAGATCGTACAGCCACGATGAACCTTAACGAGCTTGATCTGGATGGAGCTGTGCAACAAGTCTTGAAAAATGCTGCTAAATGCAGGGGCATTTTCCGTGGCTTGCACGAGTGCTCGAAAGCGATAGAACAGCGTAAGGCAATTTGCTGCNTCTAATCAAGGTATGTCAAAACTATTTAATCGGCATTAATCTGTGCAGGTTTCTGACAACAAAAAACTAGGCGAAATGGCCGGTCTCTGCAAATACGACAAAGAAGGGAAGGCAAGAAAAGTCGTTTCCGCTTCCTGCATAGTTGTGCGCGATATTGGCGAAGAATCTCACGGTTGGAAGTACCTGGTTGAGAAGTTCCGGATTCCTATTCAACCGCGGGAGTCGTGAAGCTGTACATGTGTTGCTTTTGGTAAAATGATTAGCGGATAACTTACGCTATTTTTCCTATTTTTTGGGGCTGAAGGGCTAATGAGTGAGCTGTTGTACGCTATTCGTCACTGTTGTAGTCAATCTAGAGCGGTGCTGTGTAGAATGCTCNGAATGCTCCACGTATTCTTGACATGAGTCTTGTTCACCACACCGCAGCTTAATTTCATGCATTTGAGGTTAGTTTCTTCCGTGTATGTTTTACAGTAATCGTTGACTATCTGATCTGTTATTTGATCACGCCACCCAATTTACTATCCAGCCTTTAAAATTCGTCTTCACGTCTACTTGTTCTTAGTGGTTCAACGCTTTCCCTAATGCACATCAGTGTGGGTTGCGTTGAGCGTGTTATCTGCCAACCTCGTCAAAATTGGTCTGGATTCTAGACGTTTTTTCCAGCTTAGAGTGGTTGTTACATTAGGTTATCTGTAATTACGTCCACTGTCATTATCGAACTGCCTTTTGAGTGCTTTCCCTCGCTTCCTCATGTAATAACTACATTTTCAGGCAGCCATGGTTCTTATATTAAGCGTAGGCGGGGTGGCTCTTCACAACTGCGCATCTTGCAAAGTGCTCCTACACGACCAAACGTCTCAAGTAG